CTCTGGAACTTACGCAATCAACATCTTCGCCGTTGGGATGAATTATGTTGTTGACAGACGGCCATTGAGGCATTTACCTATTAGTTGATCTCGTCAAGCGATTAATGGCACTTAGACCACTGACATCACTCTAGCAAAGCGTTAGCAACTTGTTCACAAAGAACAAAATTTTCATGGATTTCTACAAAACGGACGTTAATATGCTTACGTTTTACTGGAGTTCTACCTATAAACGGTTGAAATGATTAAAAAATCTACTGGAATGGCATGATTACTGTAATGAAGAAGGGAGAGTAGCTGTTTTCGTTATACATCGCACCAAAATCACTGTATATCGTCGTACAGAGTTCATTTCTGTCCACAGGCCAATGATAAGTCGTCGATTCGGCGTATATGTCAATAAGAAGCCGTGACGAGTCATCCATTTTCGTTTTTCATAAAGTTGTCCACGATTGGTGATACGACAATGTCCTGCCACTTTCCAGTACGGTTATCATTAAAGCGGAAACATCAAGTTGCATTTTCAGGTAGAGCTTGGCTGATTATGATCAGCTACCATATCGATTCATCACCTCAACTATACACAAAGACATAAATCACGACAAACTGTGCAGATCCCTAAAATCAGAGATAGTGAAGAGAACTAAAAAGCGATAGCTTCGCTGAGCACATTCAAACGTTAGAATAGTTGCCTACAAAAAGCACGGTGGCCATCATCATGCGAAAACTCGTCCGGGCCATTCATTTGTGGCCTTGGTCCTTATTTGAGCAGGCCTACAGTTCAATTTCTTTGGTCAACAATAATGTGCTTACTATTTTACATAAAAGTCGTCTGGATGTTCATCAGTTGTCATGAGTTATCACGTTGAACAATGGAAATGGACAAAATGACTCCACTTGATAAGAGTCAGTACGACTATGGCTGTGACGTCAATAAATGGAAATCACCGAACGACACCCTACCATCGATAACGACGTATCGACGTCAAGCCAAGCTGTCAGCAAGTCTTCTTCTTAGCAATTGAGAAAAACGGGAGAACTAATCAATTCTACATTTTTACCTAACCGGCGATTATCGCATGTTAATCACTCATCCATCATCGTCTATGGAAAAGCTATATGTCGTAGTTAATCTACAACTCTCTTACCATCGCTCATTCTTCCCATTACATCAGTGGAGGAACGAATTTAAAAATATTGTTGCCTACCTTTTCATCCCAGGCTTTGTCCGATGCTGGTGGAATATCGTAAAGAAAACTATATTTTACTTCGTAGGACGGCAATTAGGAAACCTATGGGCTAAACAAAACTTTCGAAGTCTGGTTGGAATACTGTAGTGCCTAGCTACGAGAAAAATCAGTTATTCCAGCGGAGGGCATTTGTCGACAATCTGCACTCTGCACCAAGCTAGCATCTCACAAATGCGTTCCTTCGTCTTATTACAGGAAAGAAAATCTTCATAGGTACGGTGAAATCAACTCAAGTAATGAATTATATCTCGTGCCAAAACTATCATGTGAGCTAAATCTATTCTTTATCTGCGTTCGAATCCCATGTGCCGGTTATCCCACTACTGAGACGGCTGGAACTGAATCCAACGACGCTCGATTTAGAAGGAAAAGTGCTTTTACTCTCAAAATAAAGGCAACACATTACAGTTGCGCAAAGTAAGTCGAACTCTTGTACTGGTGTTGAAGAAATATTTCAAAAGCCCATTAAACACAGCTGTGAGACAGAAAGGTTGTCGTGTTTCGGAAACGACAGCGTACACGGATTGACGAAGCAGTTCATGATCGTTCCATCACAACGTTGGACTTAAATCGCCAAGAACTTCGGCACCCATCGATTTTGGCATCGATCACCGATGAGTTTCCAGAAGGCAGCTGAATTACCAAAATTCTTATAACTGAGTGCAAAAAACAACTGATAAGATCCTCTAGTCTCATCAATTTCACAAAACGGCGAGGCGATTTTCTTCGGTTATCAGAGCATTCACTGAAGATCTCCTCCAGCTGATATCTGGCTCAGCTCCATCGAATGTTCCAGATGTGCTTCTTCTAGTCACAGCCATATTCATGAGGCATGAGAGTGTTACGGTAGGTGAAATGTGACACTGATACTGTACCTCTTAGAAAAAACGATGACCCATTATTTGCTTTTCCCCATTTTACCGTTTTACGGAGGATATAGGACATTCAACGAGGGTCACTTATTGTACGACCGACTGTGTTTTAATCTCTGCTTTGGTCAATCATACAGCGTTTTATTGATGAGTAGACATGAGGCTGTTAACAGCAATATTTATTCAATGCAGTGCTGCCTTAATTATCATATACCCATCAGGTTTTGTTTGGTGAGGTTATGACAGTGTTCGATTGAGTGAAATGAGTGTCAATGTGACCCCTCCGGGGTATGAAGGAGGCGAAACCGCCGAGACATCAGCCAGCATCGTATTATGTCCCTCATCAAAAAAAAACCAGCCTATTACTGATGGCCACATAGTCATCTTCACCTTCTCTGAAGTAGATTGACTCTCTTGCATTGCCAAAGCAGGCGAGCAAATATTTTTGGTCACACGGCGGTACGTCGTACGTGTCAGGTCATCATAAGGCCAACAACTCCACCATCTTTCGAATCGATCTGATTGCGATCGACGGTGGGCAATAGTTCATCGACCGAGAATGTCGATGCTTCTCATACAAACAGATAGCATGTTATCATAGGGTTGGTAATCATTACAGTGATATCATAGATGCAGTTCCAACGGTGTCGTGGACCGATCGTGCTCGTCCTCTCCTACTTCTACTAAATTGCTACAACGATCGTGACGACCCTCATGTAGCTTAACTTCGCTATAGAGCTAGAAAACGATTTCTTTCCTATGATGGCCGATCTTTTTCCGGCTGACGTAGCTAGAGGACTTTATATAAAGGAAATTGTTGTTTCCGCGAAAAGAAAACGTCTTTTACACCTCTTTCTCAATCACTTGCAAGGAAATTAATCAAACGAACGAAAGGGAACACAAAGTATTCAAAGAATTTCTTCTTGTTTAAGTCTCCTACAAAAGCCCTAAAAATCTACCCAAAGTTTTTTGGTTATTTTTATTTTCAAGCCTGCAAGGAAATCCTAAAAATTTAAGAGACGACTCTAAATCTTCTCATTGAAGTAGTGCTGTCGTTGGGCTGCCTTGTAAGGAAGAAAACAGCATTGGCTCTGCCAAAGGAGTTCTTTAAATAGATTATTTCCTTACTTTTAAAAAAATCGAAAAACCAGTGAAGGGAACTCTCGATGCAGTGATAAAACGACATGATCTAAAAAATCGATATTTCATTACACTCTCACGTTTTTCCACGCTCCTCTTAGCTTTCAGTGTCGTGCTTAGGAGTTGAATAACTCTCCTCATCACCAGCAATCATGACCATAGTACTTATAGGATTTTTAGCAAAAAAATTTAATCTCAGTGAAGACTTTGGAATATTACTTTCGTAGTTTATGTTTTGTTCCACCATTCATCTCTTCATTCTATTTCATTTCACATTAGCCGATCTCACATGTTGTGTGGATCACATTTCTTCTATTCAATTTGTTTACTCTTATTATCCTCGAAAGCTCTTTGATTTTTGGATCCAGCTGTTGCTAGAGGATTTCTGGTCTTCATCGTAAATCTTACTGAATATTGGTGATATAGATTCTTTGCTTCCTGCAACACACACGTGGAGTCGATCCCCGCACCCATGGCCCACCAAGGCCTCCCTGCCTCAGTGGTCGGCAAATTGGTACCAAACTTGTCTGACAGGATAGCAACCACTAGCTCGATACATCGGTAGGCGCCGCGAGTTATTGTAAAGACCAGATATGCATTCAGTCATCTCCGACGATACTTAATGAAGCCGAATGCATGGCGCATCCCTTAGGGATTGATCAACGCCGAGAGTTTTATCCTTTAGCTTCATCATTTATAGATTCTTCCTAGAATCCTATGATAGCCGTGCTAGGGCGTTCCCGGTTATTCACCACAGACGGTCACCACATCTTGTAGATCTGAAGGAGGGGGCTTCCCAACCAAGTCTAGTATCTAACTATTCATCTACAAACTAAATGTTTACGAACTAGAATAGCTCGCTTCTTGCTGCTATGATTTGGTGAACATGAAGGAAAAATCTAAAGGAATATAATTTGCTGCTAAAAGAAATGCTCAGTTTCCTACACATGTATTTTGAGCGTTTCATTACGACGTTTCTTTCCTACAGAAACTGTGTGCAAGCTCAACTCAACTAGTATAGAATCAGCCGATTGTGGATTTCCTAATGGAAGACGGAAAGAGCTCTCCAAATATAAAAAGTGAATTATTTGGGTGAGTTTCGTTTCCTTTGCGGAAGACTAGAAAGTCTGATATAGCCCGATCCGACGTAAAAAGAAAGTGGAAACTTTTTCAGAGTTGAAGACGTTATACTCAATTCGGCTCATTTTCTCGTAAGTTCAATATAAATAGGATTTTTGTGCTAAACAAAACATTCGCTTTTCTTCTAGTTAAATTTTTCATTACAAAGGTGACCTTGGGCAGGCTGAGAAAATCTATCTTCAACAGAAAATGTTGGAAACGTTAAGAAAGTCGAAGCAAAAGTGGCACGAAACTAAAGCATTAGATAGCAAAGCGTTTGAAAAACAGTTAAATAATAGAACCAAGGTGATTCTGAGATATTTGGAAAACCCCGGACCGCAAGTGTCCGCAGTGGGAAACGAACGCGCCATTACTCTTTCCGTGGTAAACACCTGCTGCCCGGAGTTTTGCAAATATCTCAACATTATCTTGGTTGTATTTCACATGACTCCCTGCCGTGAAAAAATTATAGTTGGCAGTAAATAAAAAGGTTAAGTTAAATAATAATTCGTAGCGCCAATATAAGAACGATATAGGTTAAAGCGAAGTGGCGCTACTGTTATTCAGATAACGGTTGAAGTTATCTATGTTGACTTTATATTTACTGCCTTTTACTAGCTTTCACAAGCAGGGTATTATGTGTGAGACAACCACAATGATGCTGAGATATTAGTAAAACTTCGGACCTCAATTATCTACGGCGGGAAACGAACGCGCCATTGTCCTTTCCGGGCGTAACGCGCTCACCACCACACCATGCGGTTCCTTCGTTTCGTCTGTATTTCAGCAAGTTTTATCGATCACTGCCATCAGCAGTCACCCGTCAACGGAATTGGTCTGGGGGCCCAAATCGGCATTGAACCCAATTAAGCTGAGGCTATAGTTGAAATTCACAATGTCGACTTTTTATTTACTGCCTTTTTACTAGTTTTCACAGCAAAGTATTATTTCTGAAACAGCCACAGTGATGCTGAGTTATTTGCAAAACTCCGGGCCGCAGGTGTGTACGGTCGGGAACGAACGCACTATTGTCCTTTCCGGCGAGTAACGCGCTCACCACCATGCCATAGGCCCCTTCGTTTCGCCTGTCTGTCGGCTAGCTACCAGATTAATCCCGTTGACGGGTGATTGTTGATGGCAGTGATCGATAGAACTAGCCGAGAGACAGGCGAAACGAAGGAACCGCATGGTGTGGTGGTGAGCGCGTTACGCCCGGAAAGGACAATGGCGCGTTCGTTTCCCGCCGTAGATACTTGAGGTCCGAAGTTTTACAAACATCTTAGCATCATTGTGGTTGAAGTTCTGTTCCGTTAAAGGTCCTATAAGCTTTTCACATAGAAACTTCTCAAACACGAATAGCACCGAAGAATTTTTTCATTAATATCTAATCAGTAACCCTAACACGACAAACTGATGGTGGTAATAAGTAGTGAATGAATGAAGAAATAGCGTAAGCGCAGAGGGTCGGCTTCGTAGCGGTGTTAACCGTTAGGTTCCGTTTTTGCATAAGAGATCTAGGTTTCAAATTCTTTAGAGGAAGTTCAAATTTCAGAATTTCGACTGCGAAAGAGAGATTCAGATTCTAGAACGAGATATTCGACAACAAAAAGAATCCAGTGTAAACGCAAAAACGGCCATAACTTTCGAACAGTTGAGAAAAATTCATAAGTTCGTTTCCATTCTATCTTCTTTTTTATCTATAAGAATCAGTTAAGTCTACCCGATAAAGCGAATTTGGGAAACCGTGATTGAAGCACTCAATTATACGAGAGAGTTCTAAAGTATAGACAGCCCTGTAAAACTGGTATAATTGCAAAATAACTGAAGTGGAACCTCGAAAGCTAGGAAGCACGATAGAGTGGATCCACTCATTTATATCTTGACCTTCACCACTTTCCTAACAGAGTGCCAACATAAAGCTTAGAGTGAGAGTCAATGAGTGGTAGCTGACAGCGCCTATAGATCAATTACATGGCTGAGAAGCAGACGAAATGAAGGACTCGCATGGCGTGGTGATGAACGCCTTAGCCCCCGGAAAGGGTAATAGCGTGTTCGGTCCTCACCGCAGGCACCAGTGGTCGGCATTTTTTGCAAATATCTCAGCAACATTATGATTGTATCTCACATAAGCCCCTGCCATTAGAAAATTCGTTGACGTAAAGCTCGGAATTATTAGAGCCTATACTGGATTTGAATAACCATTCAAAAAAAGGAATGCAAATAGCAAAGAAATGATGAAACTAGGAATTTGTAGGGTGCTCCCAGCCGTTACTGAATTTGTTACAAAAAAATTCTTTGTTATTTAATAAACGTTTCTTGCCCAATAGTGTTTTCAGTTTGGGAAAACTTCTTGGTCCTCAGAAGGAAGTGTTCTTCGACAGAATATGTCGCGCAGCTGACATACAACGAGCGTCATTGAAGAATCGTCTGAAACAGAATAAAGAGGTAGGAGACGAATATGTTGGCCCATTATTCATTCATTTATAACATGTCCTTTCTAAGCATGAAGTTTCTTCCAGCTATGATATTTTAATAGGAGTCTATCTCATGGAGCCATGATATCCCATCTCAATAACTGTTTTCAAATTTTGCAAATGAACTATACTTCTGTAAATAAATAAACCATTCCGTATTTGAAACGTTGTAGAAATTTGAACCGCCGTCCCTGAGTTCATACCGGCAGATTTATCAGGAATCGAACAATTCGAATGAAGGAAGCCCCTGTCTTATGACATCTCACTGGCAACACATCGGGCTATTCAACTCGCCCACAGAGGTACGTGCGTTTGTTCATCTTACACTCTGACGTGTGGTCAGAAAATGGAAATACAGTACATCGTAGTATTTAACGTTCGACTTCTTTTTTACTGTCTATTATTCTGTTCATAGCGAAGCTTATGTTAAACATAGCCACAACGACGACGATATTTGCAAAACTCGGACCCTCGGCGAGATCCGAACCCGTGGGTACACTGAAGGCTGACGTGTTACCTACTGCATCTCTGAGGCCCTCGCCTTGCTTTCTTTCAGGGAGTTTTTCTGCGCTGACGGAGTCATTACCAATCACCAGTCAAGGGCAGTAAATGAAAAGTTAAACATGATTTCGACTACAGTCCCAGCTTTATTGGGTTCAACGCCGCTTTGCACTCCGTGGATCATTCCCGTTGGCAGATGATTGCTGATGACAACGTTTGGGTGAAAGAAACTGGCTGAGAGAAAGGCAGAACGAGTCTCTTAGTGGTGCCGTGCTTGGCACGCGAGCCCCCGGAAAGAGAAATTATGAGTTTGGATCTGGCCTGGAGCCTGAATTTTGAAAATATCTCATCGTTATTATAGCAGTATTTAATGTTCGAGCTATAATCATTTGAAGAAATTTCTTTAGAATGTAGATCAAAAATGTGTCGTTGACGTGGGTGGCTATCTTTGGTCGCGATAGTCGATTTACCTGCCATGAGCAACTTCCAGAACCGACTTTCTGTTAACCTCGACATTGTTCAATAAGCCAATGTTACATTGTTAAGGAAACATTAGGTTGTCAATAATAAGATTTATGGTTGTCTCGGCCTTTTCGCTTTGGCCGTTTCGCCTTCTTCAGAGCCTCGAAAGCCCCAAATGAAATGAAATCTCACTCAGCCAAACACTTTCAGAACCCAAGCAAAAATAAACTGGACACGTAAATTTTATTCGCATAAGAAACAGCTTTTTTGACCATTTGATGTTTCTTTATTTATAAGTTTTCCAATTGTTGTTGGAGACCAGCCAGACTGAGCCTTACATGGGTGAGGAATATGTCTGACTCAGGTTAAAAAGTCGGCTTGAGGTATTCCGCAAAGCAACACTTGGAAAGCTGTCTTCTTATGGGTGCTTCACTTGCTTAGACAACAATGGCTTTCAAAGCCCACTATTTTAAGAACTATTTAACATTTCTGAATGCAAGATAGAAAGAGGGTAAAGCGTTCGGTGTTGTAACATAAACAAGCATAAACATTTTAAGTGCCTCGGATGTAGTATATTAGCTTAGTCTTATGAATCCGAAGCACGGTATAAATATGACTACGTCTTATTCATGACTCTTCTAGTGTTGCCAGTTTTCAGACCCCAAGAACGCCATCATCATCTACGGCCGAAATGGCATCGATCTTCGGCGCAGGAAGCGTAGCTGAGCAAGATTGGAAGCTACCAGCTGAACGTTCTCTGGATCTCATGCATTTAGGATTTTCATTTGATGAAGTTAAACAGGTAAGAGTTGCTTGTACAACTAGAGGAAAGTTTTAGATTTCTTAACCATAACTGTGAAGTAAAAAAGAAGCAACATTTCTTTGGAGTGTGAGCACTTTAAAAAGCCATTGTTAACTTTGGTATTTGCTGCCTACCACAATTTTTCATGGCAGGGTACTGCAACGATACAACCATAATGATGGTGATATAATTGCAAAACTCCGGACCGCAGGAATCTGCGGTGGGGAACAAACGCCCTATTGCCCTTTCGTAGGGCTTTCGCGTCCAATACCACGGAATTTTTCAAATATCTCAGCATCATTATGGTTGCATTTCACATAGTACCCTGCCGTAAAAAGTTGTAGTAGCTAGCAATAACAAAGTTCACATTATGATTTGAATTACAGCCTCATGTTAACTGGGTTCAATGCTGATTTGTGTTCCCCAGATCAATCCCGTTGATGGGTGATCGTTGATGGCACTGGTACATAGAAAACTAGCTGAGAGACAGGCGAAACAATGGACCCACATGGTGTGGTGGTGAACGAGCAAGACCTTGGAAAGGGTAATAGGGCGTTCGTTCAGCAGCGCAGACACCTGCGGTCCGGAGTTTTGCAAACATCTCAGTATCATTATGATTTTAAAAAGGCATTCACTACACTTATATTAATAGAGGATTTTGCACTTGCTTTTACTTTCGTTTAAGACTAGGGATATAGCGTTACTAAACCCTTTCTTTTCGTAAGGCATGCAGTTAAATTTTAAAGAAAATTTTTTAATATTATTCCTAATATTATCTGAATTATCACTTGTTCGAAGGGCTCTCTAGTTACACTATCAGTTGGAATTCTGATTTTTTTCCTAACTCTTGACAAGAATAAGTTTCCGGCAACGAAACGACAACTTTTTTTCACTTTTGCCTCACTGCTGTTAACATCAGTGGAAAGCTTTCGCAACACAATATTTCAATTTGGTCACAATTTGTATACTTGAAGTTACAGAAGTATTGGAACACAGCCCTTTTGGTTTTTTTTGAAGTCTGAACAAGGAAACTCAAGAAAAGGACAACGAAGTTGAAATGGTTGTCACAAAACTTCACGATAGTCTTTTTGATTCCAGCTAAACGGAGAAATATCCCATAACGAACACGCACCGTTTACTTTCCAAATGGAATACGACCAAATTCTTGACGACTGTGGATTTTTTGGTCTTAGACAATAAAAAAAAATTTTTCTCAATAACTGAAGTGCGTTCGCCTTCACTTTCGCAAGCGAACAAGTCGAACTGGGTGGTTCTCTCATTAGAGAGACCACCAAATACGTGCGCCTACACGTTCAGTGAACATGGAGAACAACATGAAGCAGGAATTGGATCAACTAAGAAGAGCAGCAGTGGCTACATTCACGCCACTCAGAGAAACCACCGACCAACTAAAGAACCCAAAAATCCGCGCTCATCTTTCGATTCAACCCTTCCCAGAGCTCTCTTATGCAGCAGAAATGTGGGGTGATAGTTCAACTACGCCAAGAATACTGTGCGCTATTCATAAAGTGCTTGATCAATGCCTTCTGAAATTTAGCCGGAACCCGCAACGTCTGGCCAGAGTGCGTAGCTGATATCTTCGAAGCGTATCCCATCTTTAGGATCCAGGAGAACATACATCAACAGCGAAACAGATATTCAAGATATATAGATCATGTAGTAAGAAGACCAGATTCCAGATGATCGAAAAGAGCACTAGAGTGGATTTCACAAAGAGCCAGCGTTGTCTTAGATAGTCATACAAACGGTCGGTGAACGTATACTGGAATAGCATCAGCAATCTGCATTCGCAGACAGAAATGCTTTTAGGATTTCGGAATTGCCTTACATTAGTCACCACGTTCGAATGAAACCGCCGCCGTGAACGATGAGGGAGAAACGAATGGAAATTATGCTGGGGCCTGCACAACTAGTGATGGTGGGCAATCAGAGTATCCAACCTTTTAAGGATGTTAGGAGCTCTCAATATGGCAGAATAATAGAAGAAACTTTGCTCTATCGCTCTATGGGTATGAATGGTATGTATGCCACTGTTTACCATGTGTTGCTTTGGAGGGTCATATAAACGCATTGCTGTGAGCGTTTGGAATTGTTTTGCAACTTATGCTGGACCTATTTTGATATTTGTTATACACGCACATTCATTCTATACAACAACCATAGTGATTAAAATAAAGTCAGGGCTCATTATTATTTAATCTACTTGTCAATAAACTTTTTCGACGAAAAGCTGCTGGGCAATCAGAGTGTCCAATCAGAATCACCAGTTATAGAGGACAACTTTTCTGGTCTCATTCCTCCTATTTCGATCTTCTTAAGATTCCTGTCACCTATATCACCTGTAGTCCCATTGACCGTCGAGTGATTCGAGCGGACGCCAGCAAATCTTCCAATTTTCCTTGTCGCCTCCAAGAGTAGCCCAGTGGGTTTTGCTCGCTCTACGGACTCATCGAGCATCATATCTTTCTTCTAGGCTTTTCGTGAAAAGCTTTGACCATCGAATCGGTGGTCTACCTGCAGTGCATTTAACATCCCGAGATATCCAGTCACTAACGGCTCTTGTCCAATGGTTGTCATTCACGTTTTCGTGTCATTCATTGGCGTTTTCCTGCCCTACAGTATGCATTTTTAATGGGATCACCTGTATCACCTGTAGTCCCGTTGATCGTCGAGTGACTCGAACGGGCGCCAGGAAATCTTCCACTTTAACCCGTCGCGTGCAACAGTTGCCCACTGGGTTCTGCGCGCTCTACGGACTCGTCGAGCATCATATCTTTCTTCTAGGCTTTCCGTGAAAAACTCTGACCATCGAATCGGTGGTCTTCCTGCAGTGCGTTTAACATCCCGAGATATCCAGTCACTAACGGCTCTTGTCCAATGGTTGCCATTCACACGCATAACGTGTCCGGCCTACTTTATCATCCACTGTTTGGCGAAGAGAACGCATCTTTGGTTTTTGATCGTCGACGTAAGTCGGAGCTTCGGATCCTTCCCTTATTTGTATGAAACGGGATGCGCTCCTAGCATCGTCCTTTCGACTTCGTATTCAACAATGCTGAGTGATCCTTTATCCTGCTTACGCAGCCACCAGGTTTCTGACCCATACGTTAGAGCATGAAGTACCGCTGAGTCAAAAAGGAGGGCACGGAGTCGGTTGTTCCTTGTTTTCTTCACTTAATCCCCGATGCTCTTGAAAGCTCCCGGTGCCTCTCGTTTCCTTCTGCTCAGCTCTGGAACTAAGTCGTTCATTGTATTGATTTCCAGGCCTAGATAGACATGTCACAGAGCTCCCTCATATGAGGGATCTCGAGCCGGTTAGTCGCGAGGCTACGTGGCACGTCCCTAGGTGGCGGATAGAGGGTTAATCGCGACCAAAAGCGACCTTTGCTTCCCTGAGACGCAGGTGGATCCGGGGGATCAACTCTCTGTTTCTGCTGCGCCGATATGGCACATTCTTTTTGTATTTGCAAAGCGTATTCATGTATGCGTGTGTGGGTGCGTGCCAACCTTTCAGCACCGTCTATGACACCGGAGAAGAACTGTTGCTCGGAACATGCGACAGTAGAGGAGTCGGCGGCTTCGGCGTTCTCGTCAACACGAGTTTGCCCATGAACATCGAACAACTTACAACCCGAATCGGACGTTTACGATTAAAAAGACGTGGATCAATTCCGGCTTTAACAATCTTCGTCGTTTACGCGCCGATATCAAACTATGACGAAGAAGAAGTCGAAGCGTTCTATATGGACTCGGGGAAGTTCTACAGAGAAGGCCACACATTCTTAGGTTATTATTCAGCGCCAAGATTGGACCAAGAAGAACGTCACATTGGACACACGGATTAGAATGGAACGGACAGGGTGAGCCGCTCTCTGAGTTTATCATGACGAGCAAGACCATCCATAGTAACTCATTCCAAAAGCACCACCCTCAGCGCTGGACGTGGGAGTCTCCCAATGGAGAGTACGATAGCGAAATAGACCGCATTATAGTAAACAGAAGGTTCTACCTAACCGATGTCGCTGTTGTCCCAGAATTCTACAAGGGATCAGACCATCGTCTTCTTCGTTGCAAGATTCTATTTCGCGTGGAAAGGAGAAAAAGCCGCTAAATTCTAAAACCGAAATCTCAGAACCACCGTAAACTGGGATTTATTCAATTCATTAGTCGGATGTTGGGAAGATATACAGCGTCCAGAAAGGCAATGGAGAAAATCATTCACGAATACTACTCGAATTTCTTCGATAGCTACGTCTACCTTCTATCATATAAAATAAAGGAGGATGGATAAGTTGTACCACCGGTTCTCCCTTCCGAAATCCGGCATGCCATTTCGTCGGTGAAATATCGAATAGCACCAGGTCCGAATAGGATAAGACCAGAACACCTGAAGAATCTTCCGCCAGTCCTGGTAAACACACTGGTTCGGCTATTCACACGTTACCTGTCCGAATGCAAGGTTCCTACTCAGTGGAAGACCAGCAAGACCGTGTTATTGTTCAAGAAGGGTGACCGGCACGATACCGGCAACTATCGCCCAATCTGCATGCTGTCTGTCGTCTACAAACTTTTCACTCGAGCCATTCTAAACAGGATTGACAGAACACTGGACGAATGACAGCCATGTGAGCAAACAGGGTTTCGAAAAGGATTTAGTACGATGGACCACATCCACACGGTAACACGGTACATTGAAGTATCGCGAGAGTGCAAAAGACCGCTCTGTCTCACTTTCATCGATTTACAGAAGGCCTTTGATTCAGTTAAGATAGAAGCAGTCTTGGAAGCCCTTGACAGCCAAGGAGTTCCTACTCAGCACATAAAGATTCTTCGTGAGCTGTACAAAAATTTCACAACCAAGATTTCACCATTCTACAACGATTTTACATTGACGTCAAAAGAGGAGTTAGGCAAGGCGATACCATTTCGTCAAAATTATTTACCGCCACCCTTCAGAACGTCAATCGAACATTGGAGTGGGATAATATGGGAGTGAAAATCGATGGTCGGCAGTTATGCCATCTTCACTTTGCTGATGACATCGTCCTTATAACACCAAACATTAGCCAAGCGGAACGCATGCCTGCCGACTTTGATAAAGAATGTGGAAAGATTGGCCTTCGACTAAAGCTCACAAAAACGATGTTTATGGGGAAAGGATTGGTTTCGTTTGCCCCATTCACGCTCAACGGAATGAATATCTCTGAATGCTCCAGTTATATCTATCTAGGTGGAGAAATCAATAAGATGAACGACCTAGCTCCAAAGCTAAGCAGAAGAAAACGTGAGGCTTGGGGAGCTTTCAAGAGCGTCGAGGATGTAGTGAAGAGAACAAAGAACACCGGGCTCTGTGCCCACTTTTTCGACTCAACGGTACTTCCTGCCCTAACATATGCGTCAGAAACCTGGTCGCTGCGTAAGCAGGATGAAAGGTCACTCAGCGTTATCGAACGCGCAGTCGAAAGGACGATGCTTGGAGTATCCCGCTCCACACAAGTAAGGGATGGGATCCGAAGCTCCCATCTGCGTCAACGATTAAAAATCACAGATGCCGGTTCTGTACGCTAAATAGTCGAAGGTAAGCCGGTCACGTAATACGTATGAACGACGACCAATGGACAAGGGCCGTTAGCGACTGGATTCCCCGGGATGTCAAACGTACCGTAGGAAGAACACCGACTCGATGGTAAGGGTTTTTCACAAAAAACCTTGAAGAAAGATATGATGCTCGACGAGTTCTTAGAGCTAGCAGAACCCACTGGTCTACTCTTGCATTGCACGCGACAGGGAAAAATGGAAGATTTACTGGAGCCCGTTCTAGTCACTCGACGATCAACGGGACTACAGGTCATACAGGTCATACAGGTGACAGATAGACATAACTGAAGCATTCGTAAATATTCGTTCCGTTGAGCGTGAATGGGGCAAACGAAATCAATCCTTTCCACATGAACATCGTTTTTGTGGGCTTTAGTCGAATGCCAGTCTTTCCAAAGGCTGAATCAAAGTCGGCAAGCATACGTTCAGGTTGGCTAATATTTGGTGTTATAAGGACGATGTCATCAGCAAAGCGAAGATTGTGTAAGTGCCGACCATCGATTTTCACTCCCATATTATCCCATTCCAATGCTCGCATGACGTTCTGGAGGGTAGCGGTAAATAATTTTGTCGAGATGGTATTGCCTTGCCTAACTCCTGTTTTGACGTCAATGTTAATATCGTTGTGGAATGGTTATACTTTGGTTGTGAAATTTTTGTACAGCTCACGGAGAATCTTTATGTACTGAGTAGGGACTCCTTGACTATCAAGGGCTTCCAAGACTGCTTTTATATTAACTGAATCAAAGACCTTCTGTAAATCGATGGAAGTGAGACAGAGCGGTCTTTTGTACTCTCGCGATACTTCAGTGAGCTTTGTTATCGTGTTGATGTGGCCCATCGTACTAAATCCTTTTCGAGACCCTGCTTGCTCACATGACTGTCCTTCGTCCAGTGTTCTGTCAATCCTGTTTAGGATTCTCGAAGATTCGATATATATATATATATATATATATATGTAAGGGCGTGTTGCGCAGTGGTCAGAGGCACTCTGCAATACACACGGGATCGATTCCCGTGCACCAGGCCCGCCAAGTCTTCCATCCTTTCGGGGTCGGCAAATTGTTATCAGACTGGTCTGGAAGGATGGCAGCACTAGCTCGATGCATCGGTAGTCTACCGCGAGTCATTGTAGAGACCAGATACGAGTTCAATCATCTCCAAACGATGCTTAATGAAGTCGAATGCATGGCGCATCCCTAAGGGATTGATCAGCTCCGAGAGCTTTATCCTTTTATCCTTTATGTATGTATGTAAAATTGTCTAAAGTAAATAGATTGCTTGCAGATCGCCGATCTTTTCGATCAATACAAGGAAATTATAAAACCTCACAATCCAAATTTAACTCTTAACCAGGTAAGAAGCATATTTACGTGTAAAAAAATAAAAGATCTCGTTAGATAAAAAACTGTGCGTCTTTTTAAAAAAAATTGCTACACTATACAAATATATTTGTATATACAAGTGTAAATGTGCATAAACCAGCAATATTAGAACGCGGGTGAATCGTATACGAATCACATTTCCGTCAATAAATTAGGTACCTACGGCATGCTCTCCAGTGGAAATGAACATGCTCGAAATGTACGATTTACAGTAACATTGGCTGATTTTGTAGGACTGTTCCTTTCGATCCTTAAAAAAGCAGTTTGTTTTTTCTAGGTACTGACACTGTTTGCGAATTTCATATCGCTGTCCGTTCCTGATAACCTGAAATTACTGTCATATTCATTCAACTTGTTGGAGATGGGTTACTCACGGCAAGAAGTTGCTCGACTTCTTGTCAAAGAGGTAAAATTTTATTCTATTCCAATTTATTCTCGCTAGGATTAGTGTTATAATTTTAGATTTCCAACTATGTTTACCTTTACATCTATCAAGTAACCTGTATTCCCTGACCGATCAAGAAATAAGTGGCGACCATCACATTATAGAGAGGTTTGGCGTGAGCAGTCCGTGAGGCGTGCGTTATGCACTACTTTATTAAGTGTCGAAGAGGTGGCCGAATGCATATCTGGACCACATATTGACATAGAGTGGTCTACCTTTGTATCAACATAATATTGTCCTATTTCAAAAACCGACTTTCCTCAACCTTGGTGTCTGACAATCATTATTTTCACCAACCAGCACCTTGTATAAAAGAGCGTCGCCGAGTGAGTATGTCCCATTCGAGAGATGTTCCATTAGGGAAGACCCGACTCGATGCTAAGACAAAGACGTCACATCGGAAGACGAACATCTCTTCACGATCGACTCGGATCATCGGCTCCTATGAAGACGAAGACGGCGAGAAGTTAGCCGAATAAAAGTTATTTATCAACCACGTGCAAGGTCAACTATTTAAACCAAATATTGTACTACATTGTTAAGCGAAGACGACGTTGGTAATAATGTTTTATTCGACTACCTTTCTGCCCTTCGTTTTCTTCAGAACCGGATTGATCCAAGTCACTGGTCCACAGATGGTAATCCTCGCGACGTTGTCGCATGGAATCGAACCCAGTGAAGTGGAGCACTGCTCGAATGAGGAATCTCACTCGGCGGTATCCTTTTATACAGGATGGATGCTAAACTATAATCTGCATCCATTATGATCTGGTTTTAAATTGTTTCCGTGCCCTTAGAGAAGCCCGGTACTAGTGTACCCACCCAAAAGGATTGGGAAGCTTGTTAGCCGCTGCAGAAGGATCGAACCAAGGATAATGTCTATTGCGCGATACTTCCAAGAACTGCAATACTCGTTTCGCATATTTCGCATATCACGGAGCATAAGGAAAGACTAGGAATTCGGAGAGGATTTTCGATGTTTATCTGTCTCATAAAGAAATAGAGTACTCCATCATATTTGTGTTCCATTGGCACAGTGGTAAATATGGATTCTATCTCTATGAGAACTTGAGTGGCATAGCCGATATCTAGCTGATGGACGGTGAATGTTTCTCAACAGGCTCAATCAAGCTGCTGAAGTCTGACGTCGTGCTTCTTTTGGAAAAAGCTGATTGATACCTCGCTGCACTATTCCAGATGTCCAGCTGGAATTTTTGAACTAAATATCTATAAGCAGAAATCAATATCGATTCAAAAACAGTTCACAGTCGAACGAATTGAACGCGTTTCGCAAATGAAAAATTATTTTCGCGAGGTTCTATGTAATCAGAAGTCTTTCTTGTCTTGACAAAGGGTTTTTTCGTCTCTTTTGTTCGAACAAATGTCTGTCGAGGTTGTTTAGAGAAAACGATTTGTTCTCGATACTATCGAAATGGACATGAAACCAAAGAGACCACGATCAAGTTTAGCAGTAACTGAACTTCCCAGTGCCGACTCGTACTCGTCTACTCGTGAAACAACGAACGGTCACCAATCCGATGACGAAGTGTAAGTTGCTAATTAACGGTTTTCTCTTTTGCTTCATACTATTGTTGCCATGTTCTATGCATTAGATAGTTTATTTTTGAAGAAAAAAGCCTGTAAGGACTCTTTTAAATCGCTACTACAAGTTCTTTCGAAAAACTTTCGTCATCATATAATTGGAGATAGTTCTGCACCTCACAAACCCATACAATGGCTCATCATCACCTTTCTTTAAATAGCGGCATGGTTTAAAATCTTATGAAACACATCAGTAATAAAACAGTAACCATTTGCTTTATTATTTAATCAGCTATAACTTTACCACATATAAGTAAATTTAACTGAAGTCTTACGGCAATCTGGTGACCTAATACAGCACAACAGCGGCTCGAGAACCTCATCCGTTGAGATGCTTCAATATGGTCGGCGATAAAGAAGAGACTTCTCCTCCTAACAATGAGTTATGATCTGTTCGTCTATGATTTGCAAAGAGAAGCCTTCAGAGTCACATTCCTGGACATTCTATGGCTTCATATTTGTCGTACATGTAATAAATATCGGAGAATTACTTTCAGAACGCACTTAAACATTTGTTATCGGCAGGACTCGAACACTATAACGGCTTCATTAGTTTCTTCGTAGCCAAATTATCGATGTCAAGAAAACGAAACATGATTCCTATTTACATTCAAACAGAAAGTCAGCCCCAAGTTGGCCGACAATCTTTGCTCCTTATCGTAGCTCACAAATCCTATTCATTTTGGACTACCAGTAGTTTCCTCTTGTATGAGATTTTCAGTGCTTTGTTAAAAAAAAACCAGTACATCTGTTAAAACCTACTTTATCCTCTAAGAAGAAAAACTGTTTCGACGACAACAGAAAAGGAGCATGCAATTCAGTGGATTTAGTAGTTAAAAAGAAGTAACCTTGAGTTAGACTCTCCAGCAATTAGCGTAAGTCTTCTGACATGTGTTTTGGGCCTCGAGAGTGATCGACGGAGTCATATAAATGGAAAACTGTTTTGGGGTAGACGTGCTATTCTCTTCTTTCGTAAAAAAGCTTTTTTATCACAAAAACTCAGAAATAATTGGTTTCTAATGCCTTCTTCGCCTGTGACTAATAAATTCGTGATCACCACCTTACTTACCGTGCAAAGGGTCCTGCTTTTAGCGCTGATTAATGACCCCCCTTTAGGCGATGCATTTTGCATTCGATCCCACTTATGGCAGTGTAGAGGTGAATAAATGCACATTGTCCTAAAGAATAAGTTTCGAGGGTCTACCGATGTATGAAGTCAATGTTGTAACCTAGTTTCCTTCGCTAGAATGATGGGGCACCGTTAGACGAGCGCGCGTCTTTGGACTGACATTAGTGTCGGAACAGCTCTATTTTCTGCAATGCTTTCCCATCATCTGCGATATACACGTCTATTATATTGCAGTTTAAAACTGTAATTCTGATTCTACCATGAAATGGAATAGCCCGTTTCAATCATAATACCTTATTTATTCATTAGGGTACTTAACAGACCCTAAGTTGACCAGTAATAAAATGGCTAGGATTATCCCGTCATGGTGGTGATGGGCACTGTCATACCAGGAGAAGGTCCATTAAGTTATTTCAGGAAGGATACAAAGGTGAATGGCTTTTATCATCTTCTGCCTCAACATCTGCCACTATATGTATAGTGGAACACTACTGCTTACATTTTACTTCGATAATTTCACTAACATACAAGTATTTTCTACATGCTGCTGTTTGTTACTTTATTCGCTACGAATAACTTATACATTAGTAATTAGACGTGAGAAGAATCGGCTTAAGATTATAGTGAACTCAAAGAATATCGCAGTGATTCCAAGGAAAGTCCTCCGGCAGATCTCAGTATGAAGTTGGTAATCAAGAGCTTTGAGCACGATTTCATGGGTTGCTTGCACTTTAAATATGCTACAGATGAATAGAATAAAAGAATGAATGGACGATGATGAACGCTTCTCCATCCATTCAGCTGAGAGCTGGTTAAGTAGCAAAGGGAAAAGGAGATGAACGAATAATCTTTCTATAATGCTACATAGTTATAAAAGACTGCTCTACTGTGCATCATCATAGGTGTAGTAGCCATAAAAATGGAATGTAATAAGGCGCAAGAGTAGCTTTAAAGAAAAACAACTTTCTGGTACTCTGAGATGCTCTCTAATAGAATGAACATTCATTGCTCGGTCCATCGATCGATGAACTCCTGAAGAACAGTAACGCACTCTTTGTGACCGAAGTAGTTTGCGTCGTCGAGTGGTGTACGACCGAATCGATCACGTGGCTCTAAGGAGAGAATGTCGTCCACTCGAACAACAGATGAAAAACGAGATAAAGGGTGTTGAACTTGCAAAGAAGTACAAAATATCTATCCTATTGATCGGTGCAATTTATGCCTGGAACTTCTCGGAAAAATTGTGCACGGCTGCTATTTGAAACATGTTTATCACGCCATCTTCTTTTATTCATAACGTCGACCTTGATATCATTTTGAAAGGAAAACTATAGTGCTGTTGTTTTTAATGTCAAGATTTTCCATGTTACTGTCAAATTTCATTAACACTTATGGTCGACGGTTAAATCCAATCAACGACGGCATCTATTTCACTTTTGATTTTCCCCTCACTCGCTGTGAATTGATATCAGCCCACGCCGTCCCATTTACTAACCTATGTGTGAGTTTAAATGCACTCATGTTAAACTCTGAATAAAAGTAATTCTATATTTTGAAAGCATTGATCTTCATGCTATTATGCTAACTGGCGCATGAATTTTTCGTAAGAGGCTAAAGACTACAAGTGCAAAAAGTGAGTACAACATACCGGGTGACTCTTTCCACTTTGTGAGCAGATAGTGGAGACATGTGGAATCGCCTTCAGAAGCCGCTACATGTAGAACCGTGCGATCGTCATAGTCACGATCATGGATGTCAATGCCCAACAGAAGATACCTAAAACTTCTAAGCTTCATGGTAATAACTCTCACTATTTACACACCCCGATCATGTGAACTTGACCTTTAATGAAAGTGCTACTATTTCCGCATAAGAGCAAGGTGTCTGACAGAGTAGTGCCCAGTTAAAGGAAATCGTCAGCGCTACCTAATCTTCAATAAAATATGAAGATAACAGCAAAATGAAGAAATTTTTTACATAGTTAGTAAGAGGACATCATAAAGATGAGGATGAAAGGGATGCGGGGATACGCCATGCATTCGGCTGAGTTAAGAATCGTAGAGACGATTGGTTATATGTTTGGCAAATATTCTAGATTTTACGGGCTCACAGTCCTGCCAAACCAGTAGTTTTATCCCGCAAACAGTTCTTCGCAAGTTTGCCCATCCCCAAAGCATTGAGGCCTCAGGTAGCACAGGGTCCAGGCCGAATCAAAGACCATGTATGTATTGCCGGGGAAATCTAACCACTGCACTTCACGGACCTTTCTCAAAGGCTTCACAGTTAATCTAAAGATAAAATGAAAACAATAGCACAAAAGTCTATTATAAACACAGTGGATTTAAAATAAATTTTGTCACACTTGGAAGCAGTAAGACCGTTTTGATAAATTTGTCATTGTTCCAACGAACTTGGCGTTCTTATTGGATTAAGCGTAGACCAAATCGTTTAGTGTATTGAAGAGAAATGAAGAAACACTAAGAAAGTAATGTTACACTTCAAAGGATGCCATCATCAACCTCTTTATAGTGGAAATATCACCATGCTTCGTTGCAAACATAAAGCGGGACGTGTTGTCGTGTTCGGTCTCCGGCACCACTTTTCTTGGATCCATTTTCTGGCAGTCGGAATACACCTGCAAATATTCAACTGCAAAGTCCTTAACGCAACTGTACGGCAGTTCATGTACTTTTCACTTATTTTGTTTAACACAACCTGTCCCCGTAAATACTGTGCGGATCACGGCACATCTTCCTTTCCATTCGTTTCCTCGCATCTATTAACAACGAAGTTCTTTGTGCTTTCACGAGTGTCTTCGGCTGCTGCTACAGGATTGTCTTCTCCTTCATGAACCTTTCGGATGCTGGTCAAGTCCATTCTCATTGGAGTTCTCGGATAGCTTGTCTAGAGATTTGCCATACTGCAGAAGGTGAGCTGTTTCCAGAGAAGTCTGCTACCACGTTCCTAACCATGGAACGAGATGAGGATTGGCGAGTTCAGGAAAAGTCAATGTATTGGCTAAATATTTATCTATTCGGCAATGTCAACGGCGATTTGTGGTGCCTGGTGGGTGGCGCATCCATAAGAGATGACCGAGGCTTTACTCAGAAATGTTCCGTGAAAAAGTCCAATTTTTAGACGTCGTTATGTCGCCACTGGTCAGTATAGCTCCTCAAGTCCACAGAAAACGTTCTTCGAATTTTCAGCGTAAATTGATTGGAATAAAAGCTAATACATAAACAGTGATTCACCAGACTGTCGTAGTTGTGGAAATTGAACTTGTTGATGAACGCTTCGGCGAACCTCACACCTCGATACGTATTGCCAAGCATGTCAAGTCTAGGGGAATAGATTGCGATAGCCATTACATTCGGAATCACCATGATCATATCACCAGAAACACCAGACTTAGCCGGTAGGCCAATCTGAAAATGTAGTGAAAAGGCTAAAAACAATAATCAGAACATGATCTGAATTTTTTTGCTTATCAGTCGAGTACTAGAGATATCAAAAAACTATGGAGATTGAGACATTGGCTATGTACCGAACATTCGTAAGATTTCGGAATTCGGCTGTTACAATGTTGCAAGGTGCTATGAAGCCAATAGAAGGAAGAATTGTATTTTATTAAGAATGCAACAGAAATAAAGCACATTCAAGCACTGCCCTTAATCGCTAGAATAGCTACCATCCCAAAAGAATTCTTAGCCGTAAGGCGGCAAGCTTCTAGCCTGCTCATTAGGGCTTGCGGTGAAAATCTGGGTTGTTTACAACAAAACCTCAAGTTGCATACAGAAGAGAACCCGAAGATCACCAGCACTCAACATTACAATGACCAGAAATTATAACAGATCACCAAACTGCAAAGAGAACGGTTTAAGAACGGTCTGATATGTGAGAAGAAGGAACAGGTTGGTTACTATCGTTAGCATTATTGTTGTTATACAGTTATTATTGCACATTACTGTATAATTGCAATGATGCACGAAGCAGTCGTTTTTCACCTTCTCGGGCAAACCAATCCCTCATCCTATAGACTTACTCTCTCTGATCAGCCTTGGAACACCCTAACATGGACTGTGCTAAGACTACAGGAAGAACGGATTTCACATGCATTCAAGGACAATAATTAAGTAGAGGAAAATCGTCAACTATCAGACTAACACATTAACAAAAATTCGAAGACCTCTACGAATGCTGTATGCGAGGAAGTGAATCAAACACAATAAGTACTAAATCCTCACGATATGCGATCTTGGGCGGTGTGAACATGAAAAAATCATGTAACTATTACATCATGCAGTATCAAAAGATATAGCAAGTATCTCACTCTAAACGCAAACTGTCCTGACCAATCGTACATCCCACATGAATACATCAGAGAAAGTGTGTCGCGACAAGCTCTATAAAGACTAGCTGTAATTCCTCAAGTTTCACACAAAAGGAATCACTTGATAAACGAGGCTAAGAAGCCAGATTTTTTTTTCATAGAATGTCTAACAGTTCGATTTTTCACTTTGAGGTGATGTTTCAGAATGGCTTTCTAGTTTCTGGTTCCTTATTTGAGCAAATACTTCGCCCCCAGATGTTTTGTTTTCGTCTCGATGATTGTTCAGCTGCTGTTTCATGGATGACTTCTCTCTGTTTCGTGAAGAAAACCATTAACTGCGAACAATTTATTTATTTATATAACCCATCTTCACGGCTACTGTGCGGATCCCAGCAGTTCTCACATTTATATTCATTTCCTCACATCCATTGTCCGCGAAGATCTTTCAATTTTACGTGTGGCCTCGGTTGCTGCTTGAGGATTTTCATTTCATCTTGAATGTCGTAGAATGCTGGTCCAGCAGTTCTCCCTGAACTCCTGAGATAGCTGGGCTAGAGTGTTTCCAATTGGAATGCAGAGTGATTTTTTCCCAGAGAAGTCCGGCACCAATTTCCCAACCACGGATGGATGAGAAATTTGATTCCTCCGGAGCAGAATCGAGCTAGCACCATGCTCGTGATGACGGACATCACTGCCACTGTGCTACCCGCTCCTCGAAATGCTAACTCTGCGATCTAAGCAGAGTTCCAGAATAGAAAATTTAGGAAAAGCAACAACACCTAAACCTATAGAATTTCCTCCTTTGCCTTTTCTTCATGCCTTTTTAAGAATTTTGAGTAACATCCTTCATAAGCTGTATTGAAACATTCGAAAAGTTCTTGCAACCCTCGAAAGCTTCGAATTCCAGAAATCCGTAGCTTAACCTGTGAGCGGGGTCAAAAATGAAATTTGGGAGTGGCTTCGAAGCAGCGACGGAATGGAGCTGTATACTTATGACGATCACCTGTTATTGATCACTCTCTCACTGTTCATCGGATTCACGCCACCGTTCGCCAATGTGGCAGCCATCACTGCAAGAGTATCGCAGTTCGTTTCGATGGCGCATAGTTGAAAATAAAGATCAAGTGTGTCCTGTATACTAGTGTCCGGTGGAAACACCTGAAAATCGATTATACTTTTCTTAACTACATATATATTATCTTATAATAGTGATAAAAATTCTAATAATAATATAATTTATAATTCTTTTCTTTCCTTCTTATTTCTGATAAGTTTTTATTTGCTGCATACTCTGTTTTATGGAAGGGTATTATCTGAAATACAACCACAATTACAGTGAGATAATTGTAAAACTCAGCCTTCAGGCCAGATTCGAAACTTCTAAGAACTGGCATGAGCACCGTTCAACAACTTACGGTTCTTCTGAAAAACGATGGTAATATTGTCGAAAAGCTTACCTTGTGTTCTCTCATGTAGTAGGAGAGTGCATAATTACGATCCGCTGTCTCACGTTCGGAGAGAAACCTTAACATAGACTATTTCCATTAAATGTTCCTTGCATGCTCTTTCTCTTTCTACTTCTCTCTCTCCTTCCTCCCTCCCCTACTCTCTCCCTCTTTCTTTCTCTCTCTGTCACTCTCAACAACAGGATTCTCACACAGCGTTGTTGAAACCCACATAGCCGGCACCGCTGAATCTCCTCATTTGATGAATAGCCTGAATGAACAGACAATCAGAGATGACACTCATCGTGGAATACGCTTATCACTCCGACTCACGAAGTCAAAACGATCCGAAAGCGATGCATGACGTTTCATTAACGATGCCACCACAATGGCACCGGCGTTGATCAATGGATTATGGGGCTTTTCTGCAATGTGGTATTAGAAACAGTAGTAAATAGCTATGAATATGAGAATCGTCAAATCGAAGCCAAGTATTCCCAGCTTAGCCATTTTCGAACTTCCCATTTTAGTGATAACGAATTCTATCAATAAAAGATAGAGCTGGTACGTCTTCTAAGAGCTCCCAGGGTCGAATTTCTATTAACCCAGCAATTGAATTATAAATGTCTCGTTTTCTTTTTCTTTTTAGCAATCTGAAGTTGTTATTCAGCACACGTTTATTTCCTTACAAAAGAAACACATACAGGTCTAGGTCTAGGTCTGGTATGGACCGTATGCGACTCTAAGCGACTGTTCTTTCTGGGTGGACCCAGCTAAAAAGACGATAGTGCCGAAACGTCAGCTACTGTTGTGTTGTATTTGTTCTATTTCCAAGAGAACAAACTTGTGCTGAATAACAGCGTCGCGATCGCTGAAAAAGACGAAGAAAAAGATAGAGCGTTCGGTGTTGATCAATCCCTAAGCAACGGCGCAATGTTTTCATCAAGTATCATTAAAAATGATTAGATGCATATCTGGTCTACACAATGAATTGCGGTGGCCGAGCGACATATCAAAATCGGTGTTTTAATCCTCCCAGACAAATGTGCTACGAAATTGTACGAACTCGGAGAGGTAACAGACGTTAGCAGCCTCGAGAGCAGGAACGAGCTTGTAACCGATCCAGTCTGTATTATGGAGCACTTCTAACCACCGCGTTTCTTTTATATAATCTTTACTTTGAAACTATGAACATTTTTCGACACATCCATCAGCAATTCTAATTTCTTGAACACATGTTATATATTTTCATTATTGAGGAAAAAAACTGACTATTGTGGTCGAGACAGATATCGTTGAACAGCCGACCACTAGGTTCTTGACCGACATGGCTGTGTAGCTCATCTGGACCTAGTTCATCGTGAACTAATGCGTAAGTGAACGGCTTCGATACTGACTGCAGAGATAAGTAAACTACTGTGATCTCAGATTGAAAGAAAATTCGGTGAAATGAGGACATTTAAACCGTTGACTTTTGCAAGAAATAATACAGCACGAAAAGTTGCTGGAATTGTCTTAGAAGGTTGATGGAACGGTGAAGTCTCCACGTGTGTTGGTATGTATGTTAAGTGGTGCTTGTGTATGTACGTGAGTGCGTTCGTGCGCGCGTCAGTGTATGTGTGTGTCTGTATGTGTATGTGTTTTTTGTTGCGTGTACATGTGACTAAACAAAAAGATGAACGTAGGTACCTGTAAACAAAAAGGTTTCAACGCATCTCCCCAACTCATTCGTTGTCCATCCACAGTACAAACTGAGATCGCAAACGAATTTGGATCTGCTCTAGCCAGCTGTGGAATGTACGTCGCCACCGAAAGAAGTCGTCAATTGGAAACATCTGATAATCATCATAAAGCTCTAACAGTTTTCCTCAATCACTTCATTCATCGACACTTTCATAAAACATGAAAAATGTGCCATGCGGGCAAAGTTCCATCCCTAATAGGATCTTTTTTCAAATATTTCACTTATACAGTTAACAAATTTGTAATTGCTGGTTGCTCTTCAAGCAGTTAGACAAAAAGAATTTCGTTATTCTTTTATTTTAGGCTTACTGCAATTTTTCACGACAGGTTATTATGCGAAATCAACCGCAAGGATTCTGAGATATTCCCAAAACTTGGACCCTGGGGTAGATCGAACCACGATTTACCTTTTCAAAACAACTTTTTTGGAAAAATCTTCTAAGTGATCCTCATTATAAACGCAAAAATGTCTTTAAAAAGTCGAAATTCTAGAAGATCAGTGGATGAAATCGTGAAAATGGTTAAGTTGTCTTCCAGAACTATGTGAAGACAAACGAACTTCAAAGAACGATGCAAGGATTAAACAAAAAAGAAATTTATACTGTTACAAAACACCCACTTGCAATTGAATACAACAAGACAAAGGGGTAATCGGCCCTCGAAAGGATTACATAGGATTCTATTAAATAGGTAAAACGTTCAATATTAATTTCAGTTGCAAAAATTCGGAAAAAACGATGAGATTATAGTGGTAGGAAACCAGGAGAGTTTGGCTAGCTTACAATATCCCACCCATCATGAACTCCCAACACAACACCATCGCACTACAAATTGTTCAGGGCCTTCGACCAATGAAATTGTGGTAATGGGTGGAGTATTTTGTAACGCACCATCCAGGTCACTTGTTATACAAGTGATGACAAGTACCTGGCCACGATCGTTTCGTCGGCATTCCTCGTACAGTTCGCCCATCACTTTGGTGAAGCTGGGCCAATCAGGAATCACCAGCTGTTTCTTCAACGCCTTTCCTATCACACCGATGCTATTGCCGACACATCTGGATAGGAGTACGCACATTGCTAAGAACTTGACCTTTTGTGCATTTCTAATGATGATTCAAATTTTCTGATGGTATATCAAAAGTATATTGTAGTATAGTATAAAAAGCGCGCGTGTTACGCAGCGCTTAGAAGTGTCCTGCAAAACACACGTGGCCTTTGGTTCGTTCCCGCGATGGTTCATTAAGCCTTCCATACATCTGGAGTCGGCAAATTGGTGTCAGATTTGTGAAATATCGAAACACTAGCTCAAAACATTATTACGCTCCTGTATGTAGGCCAAATGTGCGTGCATTCAATCTCTCTAAGGATTCTTGTTAGAGTCAAATGCATAGTGCATCCATCAGAGATTGCTCTACTCTGAAAACTTCATCCTCCATTCCTCAATGCAGAAAATACTCACCTATGAGGAAATTTGTTACTTTTTCATTTGCAACGCCCGGTTCCAAATATTGCGTGCAGCCCAAAAATTCTTTTATTCATCGTGAATCCGTTATAAGCAAAAACGTTCGGATTTTCGTGCCAATTCACCTGCCATTTGAAGATACTGTCTTCTTAATGAAAGCCGTTGCTCGCTGGTTAATCTCTCTGCGAATCTCTCAACACAGGGATAGCAGTGCTAGATCGTTTCCATATCTTCGCCGTACACAGAGCTGACAACCTTTATGGGTTGCAAGAAGGTTTTCTGTGCCAAGTGGGGTACCAATTTGGCAACCGCTAAACGGATGTGGGGCCTGATTTACTCTAGAAGCGATTGGAGCGCAATAACCACGCATTTCCTTTGTAAGGCACTTGTTCCCACTGAGTTATACGCTCTAATGATGCGTTTTTTTTCGTTCATTCAGCTCACTTTGTAGCTTCAATGGATACTTGGATGATTGGATGGCTCGTCTTCACTAAATGTGCGAGCCTCAGCACTATCTCCAATTTTTTCGGAGATTTGCTGGTTTACCAATTGTGGCTCCTTAGAATCACGAGGTCAGCCTAGCCAAAGTCTGCTCAGGTCATTACCGCCACAAGTAGTGGCAGTCCTTGTGCATCAGAGGGAGATTTGTCACCATGCAACTAATTTCATACCAGGACAAAGGTGGATTCTGGTGTTGGTTTACTCTTAGCTACGCTTCCTGAAGGAAACGCCGAACTTCTTCTCAGCTTGGGAGACCCTGCCAAGGGGATGGGATGAATCACCGTTGTACATCGCATCCCAACATCCAAGAACACCTCCTAGCTACGATGAGGTGATAAACCGTTGGCAGGGTAGCTTCGATGAGGGTATTTAAAGACTTCGTTTAGCAAGAAGTTCATATAATAAGTTTAATCGACCTTCGCTACAGTCGGAGAAATGTAACACCAATTATGGGATATTTCTACAAACAAGCAGGTTTTACATCAACTCTGATATTTTAGCAAGTAAAGCTCACTTTTTAAATGCGTCCTTATCTAAGAAAAGATGTTCCTCATTGAAGACACCTTGATCGACATTGTTCTCCGCTTCGCGTACCTACAATGCGCTAACATTCTCTTTCCTTCACCATTATATAGAACGTCAAGCCTGGGTGAGGACAGCTGTCCTTGACATATAGGATTATAATGGCGATCATAGTATTCAAATAAAATGAAATCGATGATGCCCTCTTGAGCCGTTTACTAACTTTGTTGATCACTTCTTGAAGTCGAGGATCGTCTTTTCGTATTCCGGCATCAATCCATTCCTGAAATTCATCTGTTGGCAAATGTTCATGATCTACCGGTTAAACAGTGTAAAAGAAGCTTTGGGTAAAAAAACATGCTTGGGTACTTGGACGGCCCGTTCGCACTAGTTGTGCGGGCCTCAACATAATCTCCATTTTTTTTCAGAGAATTGCTGGTTCAGCCATTGTGGTTCCGTGAAATTACAAGGTCGGCCTGGCCAGTCTGCTCTAGGTCGTCACCACCACAGGCAGTCGCAGCCCTTGTGAATCAGAGGGGAGATTTGCCACCATGCGACTTTGACCCCAGGACGGTGGTCGATCCTGGTATTGGTTTACTCTCAGCTAGGCTTTATGATGGAAACGCCAGACTCTTTCTCAGCTTGTGAGACCTTGCAGAGGAATGAAGCCCCGCTGTACGTCGCAGACCGACATACAGGAACACCTCCCAGCCATGATGAGGTGGTAAACCGTTGGGAGAATGTGAGAAAAACGCATACAATTATTGTCTGTATTGAATTATGTAGGCAATTCACTGTTTTCCTTAATGAGCAAACACAAGGTTGTTATTAAATATCATGCCAGATATTATTATGTAGATAACCCTGTAAGGGTGAAGTAATGGTGGAAATAGGTAGCGCAGTGCTCAGAAACGCACTGCAACACACACGTGGACTCGATCTCTGCACTCATGGCTCACCAAGCCTTCCATCCCCACGAGGTCTGGTACCTAGACTTGTCTGGCAAGATAGCAGCACTGGCTCGATACATCGGTAGGTCACCGCGAGTCATTGTAAAGACCAGATATGCATTCAATCACCTCCAAACGATGCTTAATGAAGTCAAATGCATGGCGCATCCCCAAGGATTGATCAACGCCGAGAGCTTTATCCTTTAATCCTGTAAGATTTAATTTAAACAACTTTGGTAGAATGTACGTGCTTTTGCTTGCGTCCTGACGTTAACGTAATAGATGGGGCAGCCGCTTTCACAAGTTTTTGCTATCCACCACTCTTCGCCGAACTCCTAACGTTGTTCCGGCGACGATGCGGATGGCTTGAGAAGGAATAGACGAATAACATAGGGATGACAGAGTAACAGTTGCTGGTGGAATGCGGATATGAGGCAGATAGGAGGATGAGAGATAAGGGAGAAGAACTAGAAAAAAGTGGACGACGAACTGGTATCAAATGCAGGATTCATGTTAACACTAGTTTAGTGATTCTAACCACACTCTTTTAAAAGGGGCTCAAACGTTTTAGTATACGACAAACACTTTGGAATAAAATTCTTCCTGATCACTATCATAGAATCAAATACAGATAGAATATGTTAAATACACAGTAGAAGCAAATGAAACACAAGAACACTGTGATCCTTCAGAATGTTCCGAAGAGTAGAGGACGACCCCTCTCATGAAATTAGTATTGTAATGATCATGTTAACAAATTAAGAGTATCCAAAGTTCCTGTCCTTCTCATTGCCCCAAACAAATCGCCTTCAAACCTGCCACATTCTAGCCTTTTTTTAACAGAAACTTCCTTCGTTGGTTGCAGTAGAAGAACATGGCACAAAGAGTCAAGCATCCTGTGCTTGTCGTCATTTCCCCATAGATTCGTGATGACTCTTCTCGTCGGTCGTTTCGCCAATTGTCTTAAGAGGGAAGTACATATCAACGGAAAGAATTGCTCACGAGAACCATTCTGGCTCCACCACTCATTAGCAGAATGAGAGTGAATGAATTTAGGTCGGAGGTTCGGAACGGCTGCTGGGTCAATATTTTCGAAGCTACGAAGCATCGGTCTTTCGCGAACATAATCCCATGGTGCGCCAACAACACGAATAGTACTGCCGTTGCCACTGAGCTAATCAAAACCTTCCTTTTCTGTCGCTGATGTCTTAATCGAGAGGGCAGAAACATGTGCAAATATTCGTCAATGGTTAACCAACAACATAAACGTAGTCATCGTTACTTTTCAGGGCCATCTAGAAAGTGCCTTTTAGAGGCTTTTAGAAGCGCATTCGTTAAGGATGCCGCCCAACAATGTACGCGAACCAGACCTCTCATGCCTCCGGAATCGGAAACATGGTTCTAGAAATACCTGGGAAGAGTCACTGCAGTGCAAGAAGACCGGTGACTTCTTACGGGTTCTTCCAGGATTCAAGGGGCGGGTCCGAGCAGCATTTATGACATTCATGAAGAAGACATTAGCTGTAAAGTGACAGCTGAGCTCACAAACAAATACAAAGGACTTCGTGGACGACGGATACGACCCGTGAAATGAAAAAGAATTACTTGGTTCGAAAAGGAAAAAGTAAAACCCAGTCACATAAATAAAGAAGTTCATCAATAACAGATTGCCCAAAAACAATTATGGAGAGACGGTAAAAGTGAATACCTTGAAAAATCGTGGTATGAAGATCTTATTCGTTTTCTCGTCTCGGTATAGATCGAAAATCAACTCCTGTAGACGAGTGCGATAAGAAATATCATGCGACAGAGATCTTCTTATGAGCTGTGCTCCATTTACAGTGTTTTCTCTCATCAAACTGAAATTTAATGTTTATAACGACCACTGATAAGGTCCTTATCTTAACTATAATTGGTTAACTAATTAACTAATTAGTTGATTAATTACATTAATTAATTAAATAACTAACTTAATTGTGATGCCGTACCCGAAAAATTTCAATTCTCTGGATTTAACGCCTAAGTCCAGTCTTCCAGTCTAGTCCGGTGTAGGTTGGTATTTTATGTTCCTATATGACCACACGTAGCACGTTTTCGCAAAAGTTCCCACAGTATTTTATCTTAGACTTCAAATAGACTTATTCAAAATCGTAGTAAACTTAAACGATCGAACTTGAAAGAAGCATAATTTAAAAATGTTTGTCAAAGGGATGTAAGTTTCCTGCTATAATTCCATATTGGTGAACTCATTTTAGTCTTCTACGGCAAATCTTTCTAAACCAAGAATTTTCTAAAGAAAATTACGACAGAATCTTCGTTGCTGAAGAAGGCTTATTAAGTAGTTGGCCGTCAAGTCTCGAGAAAAAGTGATAGACAGCTGGCAAAAGCTCTCATGTGTATGCTGGTTAAACGAAGGTTTCATATTACAAGCCTCTCAGTCTGTGAGGTGCTGCTAGTGGAACAGATGTATGGGCGGGCATAGTTGTACGACACAACTAGTCCTTTTCAATTTATTAAAGCCGTCGAAGTTATTCATATGTGTTGCCAATTTCTTTCACTAAACGTTGTAGTGATATGACTAGGACTCAGAAAGTTATAGTAAGTATTTCCATCTTTGGTTCGACGTGTCGCCTTTGTTCAGTCATGCCCAGAACGTTTCCACTCGCACTAAAGAATTTTCTTTCGCAAGAAAGGAACCGAATTTATCATGAAGCAAGAAGAGCAGAACAGATCAGATTAAGGGAGCAATCTCTTTATTCGTCGTCCGATCCATGCGGCACCCATTTGTCGAGTTTCATTGACTTTTTAGTAGCGTTTAAGTGTTCTGTTACACGAATATCGCTTGATTCTTTCGCAACCATCCGAATTATCGTCTGTGAATCTGTTTCAGCTCATATCTTCATGTTGCCACCGTCACGGTGGAGTGTCGCTTCCGAACCTTAAAGGCTGTTCGTTTCCAAAACGAAACTTTGCAGTGCAATAATCTCGTCAATATTCCAAGCTCAAATGCAATGTTGATGTGGCTATTCGTTCTATTGAAAGAGAGAATTGGTAATTGAGCAGAAAAATGGAGAAATTTACAAATGCATAAAGCACTGCTTGAAAAAGGTTGAATACTAGAAAGGCTTATAACGAAGAATAAAAGATAAAGCGCTGATTAATCAATTGGGTGCTCGTTTTGCATTCGACTCCACTAAGTGTTGTGAGAGTTTTTGAAGGCGTTTTGGCCTGTGCAATGACTTGCAGTTATATAGAATCAGTATTCTATCCTCCCAACCAAATCTAACACCAGTTTAACAACCGCAAAGAGATGGAGGGTTTGGTTGGCACAAACGACCAGATTGAACAAACGACAGCATGCTCGTCGTAGGGTACCTGCGCTACAGGCACCAATGTTTGGATGCAATAGCGCACTCGTGGTTTTGGACTTTGAATGGTGCCCAACCAAGTTTCCCGTCTTTCCGGGTTGGAGACATCCACAAAAGCCTGCGATTTCCTGTAGTGAGGTCCATTTATTTCTGCAAATAAACAGTTTGTCAGTGCACTTTTAATGAGATGCTTTGACTTTCCAGAAGTTTTTCATGTTTTGTTTGTCGCGACAGTTGACTAACTATCAAACAATAAAATGGTTCACAATTAAAATTTTTTTGCTTAAGATCTTTTTCTTCCTTATTAATCGAAAAACGTCAGCTCCAAGGTGAAATTGCCAACATTGGAACGTCACACGTCAACTTAATGCTGAGTTAGTTTCCTTCAGTTAATTATCTATCGAGAGGCAAAAGTAGCACAGTGGTTAGTGATACTATCAACTAGGAAGCAAAAGCTCTAGTCCTATCTCCTCCCTAACACACTCCTCAAATCCACGTAGGAACCCAAAGTCCGGGAATCTACAAGATCGCAATGAGAACCGACTCGACCAGCATTCTATGACATTCGTAGAGAAGACAAAATCCTCAGGCGGCTACGGAAACAACACGCGAAATGTTCGAAGACCGCTGTGGACAATGAATGCGAGGAAAACGAATCGAATGCGAAAAGTGCTAGGATCCTCACAGCAGACGTGGTCATACAAAAAAAGACCATCTATCATTTTACCACTAGGAATCTTAAATGAGAGGGAGACAAGGCATTTTTCTTTCATAGTATTGCCTCGGAGAGTATCGTCCATTAACAAAAAATAGGAGAAATGATGAAGGCACCGAGTAATACGGCACTTCCAATGGAACTATCAAGTCTCCTCCAGTCATGGATAGATAACTTCTAAGAGTATTTTCAACAGAGTTCCGACAAAAAGGACTCATACTGAAAGCCTATTGGTCGCTGATATCACAAATAGAAATGACAGATCGATCTGCTAATAAAGCGATAAACGAAAAGCGAACCTCGGATGGTAGTGGTAGGAGGTCGCCATTATTGGTTTGCTCAATGGCTGCCGCTGCCGCCGTTACATCAACACACTCACTCGTAGTGTGGCAATGGATTAAAAGTTATAGGGGCATAGAGAGCGCCCGAGGTAGTAAATGCCTCAGCGGTGATCAATTTGCATAGCTCTAGTTACTTGGGTCTATTAGTTGGATCTAATGATGAGAAATCCTACAAGAAGTCATCGGAGGAGAACGGAAGAGAAGGATGAATTAAGGACATTTATTGAACAAATGTTATTAAGTGGCTAGAAACTACCGTAATGCTTCACAACGGTCATGATTCCTTTAAGACCTTATATTTATGCTGTTTAAGATATATGCGTTATCATAAATTGTCTTTACTGAACCTCTTCCGAGAAAAGTACTAGTTGGTGTAGTATTTCCGACGAAGTCATTATCAGCAACACAGCTGTAACTCTCATATGGTTTAGCAGTTTACGATTTAATTTTTTCCCATTTTTAAGCAAAAGTCCTTCAGATGGTCGTGGCACGTCGGTGTCTTTCAGCAAATTAATCGATTCTGTCCGATCAGAATTTGTAACAGCTTTCATTGGCACCAAACGTCCGACAGCATTGCGAAACTATTCTCTTCTTTCAAGTGCCTTCCTTCGGCTCGCATTGACATGAAATCCAAGGAATATTTATAAAATGGGACATCGCTTTTAGAAATTTCCAGTCAGATAAAGTGTTTTGATTGTTTATAGAAGACAATCGGCGGTGCTCGTAGCGCAGTTGTTTGAGGTGCTCTGCAAGGCATACCGAATCGATCGGTGGTTCGATCCCATGCCTCAGGTTTAAGGTCAGCAAGCTTTCCATCCCAACGAGCTCGGCGAGCTGGTGCCAGAGGTGACTGGAGGAATGGCACAAATGACTTGATACATCGATAGAACACCGCATTTCATTTGATAGGTCAGAACTGTATTCAATCACGTTTAATGATGCTAGATGAAGTCGAATACATGCTTCGTCCCTAAAGGATTGACCAACGCTGGAAGCTTCATTCTTCTATCCTTTCTCAAGGATAATCAGCTCGTGTGTCGTAGATTCAGAGAAATCCTCCACAATATGAGCATAAATTATTTGCCTTGAACTCCAAGGAACTGAATTTTATGCGCTTTAACTAAAATTTTGCCATTACCGTAAACAAATGCTCTGTCTTGATGACAGATGGCTTTGTTCTGGAAGTGATGATGAGCATAAACCAAATATAATCGGTAAAGCTAAGTCCGAAAAGTGCGCAGAAATGGGAAATGTTTTATATTTAATCCTACTCACACAAAGCTGAGATCTGACGGTTTCGGGATAGCATTTTTGAATGGATTTGACCAACCGCAAAGATGGGTACCATAGTTATCAATGGCTTTGGTGGCACTTATCCCCAATCCCATAAAAGAGAGAAAACCTTGCTTTCGTAATAACCTAGTTTATTTCATATGTCGCTGATTCTCATCATGGAAGCTGCTTACTCTGGCGGATATGGTTGAAGCTAGCAGAAGGAAGCAATGCAATGGTTCACAAAATGACTTTCCCTGTGAAATTGTTGTGCTGCCAAAAGCTAAATGTCAACTAAATGCCATGTTTTTTCTTTAGATGGTTGCTGATTGCATGACTCCGGTATTTCGTAGTGTGCTAGCTTTCCCAAGGTCGTATCATTGAATCCAAAGGTTTCAATCACCAAGACGCCATGAAATACTCAATAACAATTCTATCAAATAAAGTACAAGTGTTATCCACAACGACTGCTTCATTGTCTTTACAGAAATTGGCAATGATGATAATGAGAAAAGCGGATTGATCAAATCGATAACTACATCGGAGCTCTGTCAAGCCTCCACCTAAGTAATAACTAACTTGCTTCCACTTTCGGCTCAGCTTAGCATCTGAACAGAAATCTCCTAATTGAGCAATCTTTCGCCAATCTTCAACACAGTTTTAGCAATGCGAGCCTGTTGCATTGGTTCTAAAAGTCTTTTTCTAGCAGGAACCATTCTTTCAATAAATCTTTTTCTTTGCGTATACTTACTGGCATCTTTTGAGTCCTGCACTTACGATACTTAAATTTCAGTACGGGTATCTCCGAAAGGAGCCCTAAAGAGAAAATTATGCAGGTAGGTTTTGGTTTAAGACAAAGAAGTGGAGTGTGGAAATGGTTCAGAGTTGTTCATCCTCTTTGAATCTACTTCGTGTTTAAAATACCACGCAAACACACAACATAAATAATGTTAGGTCCTAACGAAAAACCGTGCTATCACCAGCACATTTAGTTGAGTTTCTATCCCAGGTAATTTTGAAATTTTCTAGCCAGGAAACATTCCCCTTCTTTTCTGAGGTCTTTCGCCAGACGACAAGGCTTTTCCAACTCGTCTCTAAAGATACTTGGCCTCCTTTGTGGATTGAATGGAGATCCGTCATCTTGTCACTGTGTTGCCACTATGCCGATTAATTTCAGTGGCCAGCCCTTAGCTGCGGTTTCGGATCGTAACGACGCTCGGATGGAAATGATGCGTTTCCAGCCGAAGAGAACATTGTAGACAGTGAATTCCGTCTGTATATTACACCTTAGCACAGAGAATGATTCTCCAACTAAAACAAGGTGGTAAACTAGTGATGAGTCCTAAATTAAGAAAAGAAAGTGATAGAATCGTTTCGAGGCAACTGACGACTTTCTGCCATCTGAATTAAGTGTGATATGTTATCACACCCAGTGCATACATCATTAAAGAGTTACATCCATAAACGAGAACTCTTCAAGAGCTTTATACGACAGCTAAATCAGAAGAGATTGGAGTGTTTTTTGGAGGGGATCAAACGTTTTCAAAACTGAACCATGTTTAATACACTAAGCGGATGCATACAGCGCAGTGGTTAGAGGCATCCTACAATACACATAGGATCGGCCGCACTCCCGAAGCTCACCAAACCTTCCATTCCACCTGGGTCAGAAAATTGGTACCAGACCTGTCTGGGAGTACAGTCACTGACTCGATATCGTTGCCCACCGCGAGTCCTTGTATAAAGTAGATATGTATTCAGTCACCTTTAACGATGTTTAATGAAGTCAAATGCATGGCCTATCCCTCAGGGATTAGTCAACGACGGAGACTTCATTAAATTT